CAAAAGTTATCATTGAGAATGAGAGACGCAATAGGCATCGCTTTACTGCTTGCCAAAAAACGTCAAAGTCAAAGTCCAACGTCAAAGTTTGTTCCACTTTGACCTTCTTTCCTTTTCACTGATCACGCAACTGATTGCGGAGATTGTAATTGGTCAAGGGAAGAATAGCCACCTAAATCTCTCCCTGGAGCATCTAACCTCAGCCCAGTTATGAAAAATTCCGCAAACAGCGCAAAACACAAACCAAATATAGCAGCGTTTTTGGAGACACAAGGAAAAGTTGTAGAAAACCCAATAAATTGGGAAAATGTGTGACATTATCTGTCACATTACTTGGTCATTGGCGTCGGAAATGCGCATAGCAACCTAGTACTTAACTGGGACGTTTCTCTAATTAAAGAGGCGCTTGTGATGGACTTAATCGGATATTGATATCACTAGTAGATTTAGATTAGCATGCGGCATTGATTTTCTGTGATAATTGATTGTATAAATGAACAGTTTTAGAGGACTTGTTCTGATCTTGGCTCAAGCTGTGAAGGCTTACCTCAGTCTGATGATTATCAAAGTATTTACCGAAACTGTCGGCCCTGTAACACCACAAATCTACCATCAACAAGGATAACACAATCGATCCAAAGTGTATAGGGATCTGCAAAGTCAGCCCAAGTTGATGGGCCAGCATGATTTTGTGCTTTTGAAGATTCTCCGGTCAGGATCAGCCAAATCAATAGACCAAATGAGGTATCAAGTCATAATAATCGCCATCATCATTGGATGTTTTAATTTTTAAATAGATTTGCAAACTTCGAAATATCCGAATGGAGAAATATATGCACGGAGGTGCTACAATATTTCCCAACCTTCCAAATATATGGGAGGGTTCGTTTGTGTTCTTCCTTCATCACTTTGTAAAGCACTCTCACCTGGATCAATTCCTGGTGGCCAAGGCGCAAACAACACATTTTTAATCCCCCTATGTCGACAGCTGGGGTTTATTTTTGATCTAATTTGTGTGAGTTGATCTTGTCGTAGACGGTTCACCGATCATTTTCCGGGGTGGTAAACTTCGAAAAGAGGCGATTCATTGTGTCGGGACAGAAATCAAAGATATTGGTTGAGTGTTTTACACGAACGCCCTCAAATTCATGCGGAAACCAGATATTGGCCTCTTTAACGATTAAATGTCAATTTAATTGATTTTCTATCGTTACGTGTGATCCACTTAACGTCACTATAATCTGTCAACGAATTGTATAACTGTAAAGGTAACGATCACTCATCCAAAATTTTCATCAGCATAGCCTCTGAAACAACCCAAACAAGAATGCATTTCTACGAGGACTTGTCAAGATCTTCAAGTATGGCATTCAAGTAGGTCCAATTAAATTACCGTCTGCAATTATCCGGGTTTACTTCCGTGTTTTGCAAAACATTTGCATCGGGCAAATAAAATATCGGTGACCGCATTATGTTCATTTCCTTCCGTTATTGGCGACAAAGTCTACAAATGTCTGGTTACTAATATCTGGTGTTAAAAGCTCTGTAATTATTATTAAGTCAGCATCCAGGTGCCTTCTCGGTAATCAGCAATGATTCCTTCTCGTCTACCTCCGAAACAGACTTTTAACTGTAGTCCTTCTAAGCTTCGAATGTCTTTATCCATCCAATCAATGAAATCATCGTCCGTTTGGGCAGCTTCCGACCAACATTCTGAAGAGCAAGATGACTTGTCGGTCACTTTAGTTCCCCAAAACCATCTTTAAAGGCGGCAAACTGACAACACTTTATTAAGACAATCGAGGTGAAGTGCTGGGGATCCAGAATTCCCCAAGATGGCTCATCGCCGATTTCGTCGTTATTTACACGAATTTCTTAACATCTGTTATCTAGGTCAAGGTTAGCCTTACATTAGCTTGAGAAGGTCAGTTCTAGCGCCAGACAAGGGTTCTAAAAGCAGACTTCCTCACTTGTATGACATGCAAGTTATGTTCTTTGATTCGAAAAAAAAGAACTAATAATCTGTGTTTTGCTTGGTTTCGTAGAAGGATTCATTGACTCTTCGTAATTTGTGGTTCATCTTGCGTGCGCTTTCACCTGATCTGGGAGCACATTGCAGTAGCTGTCGCAGGCAGCGGTCTCACACGAGGCTCTGTCGATCAAACTCTCCAGTGCCCTGAAGGCGCAACGCCCAGCGTACAGGAGAAAGTTTGCGTGAGAGTTGCACAAACTTCCTTGATTCCAACAGCACAATTATGCTTCCCGCAACTTCCCCACACTTCGTGACTCGGAGCGTGGGAAATCTCAGACAGATGCGAAGAACGTTTCGACTGCATTTTTGACTTCTGCTTAATCCCCTTAGGAAATTCGGAGGTTTCGTCCAAGTCAAAACTTGCAATTTGATTGGTATCTATAATTATTCTCTGACAGATCAGAATGTGGTTGCATCTTGTCATATGGCCGTCGCTTTAGTGACGGTACATGGGCAATCCTGCATGATTGAGTCGACTGCCTTTGTCGTGCACAAATTTACAAGCTATCCTTTTGTGCAATGGTGATAATTCGAGTTTGAAGAAGAATACGTCTTGAACTTGAAACTTCATTAATTCAGTTCGGCATTCACTCACACAGTCGACTCCTTCAATCCCTTACTCATTCGAGTCTCAATGGGAAGTAAAATTGTTGCAAAGGTTTATACGCAAGAGCACCAATTAGCGTCTTGGTCGATTGTGATCCAGATCAGAAGTGATAATTTTGTAGGCATGAGGCAATCAGACAGAGCTATCACCTGGTGAGAAGGGAGTGCAACCCTCATTCAAATGTTGCGTTTGCCTCATATAACGGAACTCGCATCCACAGCTGGGCTCCTCACAATCCACGAAAACCGATTACGTCTTCTCTTTACGTTCTCCCCATTTTACCAATGTCGTCAACTGTAAATAAACAAGAAAATACGATCATTTTGATTGGTCTGAAGAGTGAAATGTTAAGTTCAGCAGCCTCGTTAAACCTCTAAACGAGCGGGTTTCATAGTGAACGATTCTTGCCTGATTGGATGGAACACCTAACTGCCTGCTTTTAGAAATTACGCTGGATTCCGTAGAAGGCCAATTTGCAGGGGTAGAATCATGTAGTCGAATGCCTAGCTGGCAGAGGAGTGGGATTTCATTGTGACGAAGAACTTGTTTATCCAGTCCACAGTAATACCAGGCTGTTAAAAACGCAGTTAGTATCAGGTAGTTTTTGAGGCTGCCATTTTCCTCCTGGGTGCTAGGATTGTGCCCCTTTTTCCGTGCCATTTTCGTCTTGGTTGCTGCGCAAATCATTAAGGTAGCCAAGCAATTAATCTGACTGTCCTTACGCTACGCAATCTTCAGCGCGATTTCGTAAAGCCAAAATTGAAACATGACTTAGAAGTGGTCAAACGCATCTTTGTTGACTGTGTTTGGTGCCTAACTGTTAAGTTTTACCCGGTGTGTCGATGTAAACCTCCCCGAGCTGACAGTTGAAGCCTTTCGTTTGGCGCTTCGAAGGCTTTCCAGTGACCTTCCAAAGGTTCGAGGACAAGATGGTCCAAGGCGGAAGTCGAGTTAATGCTCTGATGTGCTCAGATGAGTGGACGTAACACTAACGCATGCCTAGAAAATCGTATACGACAGGGAGAGTTTGATTCAGTACTTCGGAACGACATCATTCTGGGTCACTATGGGTGGCCCTTTGACCCAGGCCTGCAGTCACCTTTGAAATACTTCACCCAGGCAAAGCCATCTGCAGTGAATCATGCTGATTGACGTCCATCCTTTTCTGGCGTTGTGTTCTCCAAATCACTTGCCTCATGTCACAGCGAGATCGTCGGTCATTTGGGACTGTCATCCCATACACCCCTCTGCATGTACCAACCCATTCCCTATTTTTTTCCATCTGATTGCCCAAACATTTGTGTTTGCATTAATTCACGCCGAATCTATTGGCCAACAATCACGGTAGACATGTACTACCTTAAAACCCACGCATGCGACAACACAATTAAGTTGAGCTGTCTAATGGACGATCGTGTGTCCGCCGCCTCTGGTCTTTTACTTGTCTTCGTAAACGAACTAATTTTTACACTGCGATCCCGGCTTGATTCAAGACCACATGTCGGGGTGTTCAACACATCTTTTAACCCCACCCCTTAATCCGGTCGCTCCACCTCCGACACAGGGTCCCCCCTTTTTGCAGCATGTCGCCAGCCGCGCGGATCCTCAACTCCCCCCTCATTTGCACGAATATTTATCTTAGGGTATCCCCGCGCCTAGGTCTCGATGCTAGCACAGTTATGACTCACACATATGAGGTATAAATACACACGCGCAAATCCCACACACGACACAACGACACCAACGTGGTTGAGCTCTGAAGTAAACGGTTGTGTCCACGTCCTCTCCGGTCTTTTTCTTCACCGTGGCTATCAGGGAAGTGCAATCGGATCAGGGTTAATTCCGTGGCCCCAGCGCGACTCAAGACCACTTGCTCTGGCCCCACAACAAACCTTACTTTTAACTGAATGATGCGCGCGATAACTAAATCACGTCTATTTATTTGCCAGACAAAACCTAGTGATGGAACAACTAATCCCCCATTCTGTGAAACTGAGACGATTTGCACACTCCCAACACCGTCAGATCACGGGCTACGGCACTCGATGTTCCTCCTGCTTACCCTTGCAGTAAAGTTTTCTGTCGAGTTTGAACACATAATCGGATGGATAAATATGCCACTTGTATTTGTATCAAAGCATTCCATTTGATAAGAGAACAATATAGCGTCGGCGTTGTCATAATAAAAAGTTGCGAAAATTTTTTGGTTGTTGATGTGTGTGTGTGTGTGCGTTGTTGATGGTGGTTGTGTAAAAATATTCGTTCGTATGTACAGTTATTTTCCTTTCATTTCATTTGTGTGCTTACAACAAACCGGGAGGATGCCACGGAACCCAGGCGCAGTTGTTTCCTGCCAATCCTTCACCTCTTTTGCACGTGATTCTCCACAGCTGGTGCCTGTGGCGGACTGTCGATTTCCTCGGTGGGATCTTCGGCGGCTTGAGTTGGCGCCAGCTTTCGCTTTCGACAGGCAAGGTAAATGAATTCCACGATCTCCATGAACACTGCCAGGGTGAGGCCAATGTACAGCGAGCAGAGACCACCGATTCGACTGAACAGGGCGTTCACCGTGAGCACAAGATTCTCCTCTCTAACGATGGTGTCGTTTGACTTACGTTTCACAATGAGGTAAGTGTAGCGCTCGTTGAAGACAATCGGGTTCATGGAACCGTCCATCTCGGTGAGATTGGAAGCCTTGAGGAAGTGCTGGATTAACCTGGCCTCCGCCGGCCTCAAGGTACCGTTCAATGCGGCGTCAAAAAGGCTGGACGTCTTCTGACTCCAGTACAGCTGCCATCCAGTGGGTCGCCATGTAGTCACAGACACCTGACTTTCGTAATCAGTGGAAACACAACGTATCACGCACACTCCACGGTCTTCAATGTCCTTTCGGTACACAGCGGCGTTTCCAACTATCTTCTGCGCGCATTCTTTGCGCCGGTCTACAATGACCTTGTCCAACAACTTCATTGAATGGTCAATTAACTGGCCACAGTAGGGGAGACTGATGTTGGGCAGGTGTATTCGTGGGTAGTAGGCGAACATGCATCCACATTTCTTCACAATCATCTCCTGCAGGCGGGTGTTGAGACACAGCTCGAATTGGTAGTCGAAGCGCTCGTCTAGGTCAGCAAATTTTTGCCGCGGGTTGTGGAAGCAAGGTTTGGTTGGTCTGTTGTTGTGAATGCTCTGGACTGTCTGGAAGGTGAGTTCGTTCATGCGTCCGGGCGCGACCTGGAAGCTGTACCGATCTAGATTTGCAATTTGACCGGGTTCGTGAATAGACACACGCAGACCATAGGCCTGCTCGAAGAGGTCAAACAGAAACGCCTGGCGATCTTCCTTGCCGAAATTCTCATCTGGACCCAGCCACAGGATCAGGCCAAGCTCATTCACGTGTTGGGAAAACTCCTTGACCACCTCGATACTGAAGCAGTTGAAGAATTTCGGATCGGACTGTCTGCGTATTCGCAGAGCCGAGTCCTCGCACCCAGGACCGGCCACGGCCCAGCTGCCTCCATATCGGAAGAGGCAGAGGGCGATCAGGTCCTTCGGACTGTGTCCGAGCTTCAAGTGCCACGGCCAAAGGAGACTCTGGTAGTACAGGGGGAGTGTGTCGTACACCATCCCCTGAATGAGAGTCTCGAGCAGGAGCTCCGGATTCAACAGACGAACCCGTTCACTGTCATTCTTCGGAATCTCTATCGACTTCTCCAGCAGTTCAGCGGCTCTACCGCGCAGCAGTTCATTAAATCGCGTGGGGGATATGACGGTCTTGTTGCGCCACAGCTGGTAGGCCTGCGCGGAGAACGGCTGGTGGTTGCAGAAGGTCACCGTGGGGAAGTCCATGGGGGCGTCCATGTTGTTGTAGGTCTGGATGTTCACGGCGTACTCCATGTACTCGTTGACGAGCTTAAAGATGGAGAAGTAGAGGAAGAGCGTGGTGAAGCAGAGGTAAGCCGCCCACATGCAGCGCATAATTTTGTTTTCTGAGCGCACGATGCGGCTGCAACCACGGATTGATGTCGATTCGAGGAAGAGCACGACATTAGCCTTGACACGCTGGAACCATCCATAGCCGCAGGCGTTGCTTTTCTGCCGAAATTTCACCCTCCCCATTTTTGCATAGCAGCTCGTTGGTTCCTCAAACTGACTTCAATGTCGCTCTAAACAATAAATGTTTAATGGTTTTATGTGAGTGATGAACAAGCCCAGATCTCCATTAAATCTAAGAAGGCCCTTTGCACTAATCGTCTAAAAATTTTTTTACATAGTCAGCGGCAGTCTATGTTCGAATGTCAAAACTCGAATTTTAGGTACTGTTATGTAGCTGTTGGCCACTTTTACAAAAAGCCGACAGTCGCCAATTGGCTAACACAGTTGGAATACTTTAATGCCGACAATTGGCGCTGTGTGTTTGCTCAAAAAACACTGCCTGCTTTGAAATCATGTGCGCAAATGTCGCCGAAGTTGTGGATGGTTTAACTCATTCAGCAAGTGCAATACGACCCAACATCTGGACCATCTGTCTGAGTTCGGTTTGAAATTTTAAAAGTAGGAAGAAACCGTGACGGTTATTGGGCTGACCGTTTACGAGTCGAATCGTGGGACAGAAATCAACTTCAATTTAAATCAGATTCTCTCATAGGCGGCAGGAATATTCGCGAACGACAGTGGACACATCTCACGTAGGCGTGTTGACGGCCAACACTCACTTTAGCCCCATCACCCAAGAAATGAGGTCATGCGGAAGTATTGTAATGAAAGTCGCAAGCAGCCAATGGCATGTGAGGCGGAAAGGATTCGTTTTTTGATAGAAAATGCGAGGCGAATTGAAATACCATGTACATTTCAGTGGAGAAAAGGCATTCAAAGATGCACGCCAGCGAATTTTCACATGAGAACAAAAGTGGGCATGCTTAGGCCTTGTACGGCTGATATTTTTGGTTAACAATAAGTTTTACTTCAAACTCAGAAAATTTAAACTTATTATGAAGCTAGTGGTTAAATTAAATCTCCAAGGGTCATTTTCACGAAGGTGATGGGAGGTAAGTAACAGATGATAATGAACCATACACAAACAACTTTCAAATTATGGACGTCAGAGGCCTCGTTCCAGCAAATTAAACTGGGGTCGAACTTGGTTTGGGGTTTGTACAGAAGCATGTCTTAAAACCAACGCACATTTCTACATCAAAGTAGACATAACATGGAGACTCTTAGGGTAGCAACGCAAATGTCTAGCCAATTCTCAGATTGCACGTGGAAACAGTGAACACACATCAAGGTACAAGGGCTCCCTAAATGATGCTGCATCTGACCATTAGCGCTCAGATACAGCCCCAACACCCCCACTTTTAAATACCTCAAATTGTTGTCGTAAAATTTGACTTGACGTTCTAGAGAGGGGTTTGCCGTTTTGCACAAAAGCAAGCGCTCGCTGATGGTGGCCTCGTAACATACTTTTGTGCGATTCGCACTTTCGTCAAGTGGCATTCGTTGGGGGGATCTTCACTTTTGTAACTGCGTGTGTACAGATTGGCCAGCAGCAGCAGCAGAGTCAATCAAATTTGGAAGGGCCAATTTATTTCGGGGCTCTTGTCGGGGTCTTAAAAGGACTTGTTAAGTAGTTCCACCACGAGGAAGCGACTGCGCGAGACCAGTCGCCTTGTAGAAGCCAATGCTGAGTTGTCTGGACACTGACTGACTACTGAACCCGCAAAATTTACAGATTACACGGTTCGGCGTCTGTTTCAAGGATGGCCTTTCGCTTCAAAGGTGGTGGACATGCCCCCTAACCTCGAATGCAGCCAAATTTACCGACTAATATGTCTTAACTAACTGATTTTTTTTCGAAATCGCTGCCTCCCAAAACCCAAAGATAAGTTATTACGTCACTTGAGGAAAGCTATCAACACCTAGAGAGCTGGGGCAGCAGCCAGTAAGTGTGGTGTTATTTAAAGCCGCTTGAGGTCAATTTGGATGGCAATAAAATTTTGCCCTCCCACTTAAGTGGGAAATTCTAGTTTGACAGGAAAAAAAGCATTGATTAATATTGATGGGAAAGTCGATTTTCTTGAAACCGTGATAATGCATCAAACCTTACTAAGCCGGTAACTACGTGTGAAATCGTTGCTACACACTGATGACCAATCAGAAAACAGTAATTATGCATCGGTTATTTAAACCAAGAAATTTAACTAACGCAAAACGCGAGAACACCCAGCACTCCGATTTTCCTGTTTGAATCGAAATGGAGCGCTAACAGAGTAACGAAAAACAAGGGAAAGCTATTTCATCCCCAACCCGTTAAAGCATTCTTCGAAAGTGCGTCGCAACCATTTAAACGCGGTGTTTGCATGACAATTCCGCAAACAGCATTTCGACGCACAAAGTCGGAATGCACGTTGGTGGAAAGTAATCGGTTGACTAACAATTTTAAGGAAAAACCGCAGTTTTGCAGCCTTTGACCTCAAGATGAGTGTGTCTTGTGACACGTCAATCTGCTTTCTGTCCAGTTAGGCGTGGGCAAATGCGAAATCAGGCAGACGAAATTGACAAAAAGTTAGCATTTTAAATTGTGGCTTCGAGTGGTGTAATGAAACAGTCCACACCTCGTAGCAGACTAGAGCACAAATAGTGTGTTTTTTTCGTAAAGTTGCAGCAAGCTTCACTTCAACTACTAGAGGGTGGGATTCGGCCAAAAGACCCGCCTAGACTTATAATTAGAAAAAAAACTTTTTGGTGTAGTTATTTAAAAAACGAAGACAAAAGCACGTCCGAGGACTGAAAAATTCCCAGCATTTTTCAACCAGGAGGCCATTTGTAATCGGGCAGTCAACGTAGACGGTATTTCTTCCAAGCAGAAGCTAAATCATCCCCTGTTGACACTAATGCGACTCTGGTAAAATTAATTTACTGAATATATAGCAAAAGCACGTACAATTTCCCTCGCATCCCGAACATCCAATCTTTTTGCTGACAAGCGATTACCGTTTGAGTTAACATTCTTTACAATACCATGCCTACTGCCTCAACTTCAACGTGTTTGCACCGATTAAGAGATGCATCACATATGTATAGGCAGTATTTTTCCTACGAAAAATCACAAAAATTTGTGTACCATATTTGGAGCAATGAGCATTTCACGTTTTGCTCGAAAATTGCCACCTTCTAACTAGAGCAGTCTTGGAATGGGGCTAGAAATTTTTGCCATGTTTGACCGCATTTATTTGCAAATAATTTGATTCAATGAATCGCAAATTTGAAGCCGCAAGTCCTGACCAATGTGGAATCTTCACGTAATTGGGCCTTTCTTGTTCAGTCAAGGTAAATTAGTGCCCCTTTTGGCGGTGGTGGTTGGCGTTGCTTGAAGGCAAATCCAAAAATCAACTCCCAATGAGTACTAAAAAACGATTTCCTTCAGGAAAGGGTGAGTTTGCATGGCGGAAGCTGACGGACGCGGGGTAGATGGCGAAGGACTGCTACAAACTGGCCTAAGTTTGGCTAATTAGCCTGTTTTAACGAAGATCACAAGGCAAGCAGGTGGACACTTTGATCACAGTTCCTGTGTTATTCGACCCTCTTCTTTGTTGTCGATGACAACACCCTTGTCTGTGTTGAGGTATCAGCTTACGAGAATTACTCTAAGTGCCGCAATTAATGTGTGCGCATTTTAAATGCGTCAGATGTTTGACTAA